ATGTAGATGTTTGTAAACTTACTTGAAGATGCCCATAGGCTATACTTCCTCAGTGCTGTGACACAAATTTACTCAGCATTATGAATATGCACTTCAGGCAGTCTGATCTGCAACTCAGCGCCTGAACCTCTGAAACGGTAATAATCAGTGGCATGACTATAGCCATAGCAGTCCAGGCGGCTGCTATGGGGCCCGGGGTTGGAAGGGAGCCCCACTGGGTTGTTAAGGCAAATTAATGATAGAACATGTGAAGATAACATAGTACTGCAGCTTTAAGGGTGCTGAGTGGTTGCAGTTACAACAACTCTAATCCCCTGTAAAGGCTGCAGTGTAGAGACAACTTCAGAAGCACAGGTCTTTTGGGATCTTGGCATTGTTACTCATAGCTCAGAAAGAGGTCGTCAGGGGGGCCCGCATCACATTTTTGCTATGGGGCCCCGTAATCTGTAGTTACAGTCCTGGGTAATATCATTGTTGCTTGCTGGAAACAATGCATGATGGGATATGTAGTCTTGAAAAATTGAGATTGCATCACATCAAGCAGCTGGGAAAGTGATGTAAAGCACACTGGGAATCCAAAAATAAGTATGTATTCCTTTTGCAATGCTAATGTTAAAACAGGATAATATATGCTGTGACTTTGGGACTGTGGGGCTAGAGTGCTATGACAGAGAAATGTGGCTGCCTCTGGGAACATATTTTTCCCTAGTTCCATCTCTACTGCTTTTCTTAAAATAGAATACCGGGTTTATATGTAGATAGTGGGTAGGATTAAAAGGAGTGTAGTTTCCCTATTTTCTCGCTACATGTCGCTGTAGGTGTCACTGCTCTAACCAAGCCTGCAGTCTGAGCTACAACTCAGCGCCTGAACTTGTGAAATGGTAATAATCAGTGGCGTAACTATAGCCATAGCAGTCCAGGCGGCTGCTATGGGGCCTGACTCTATCAATCACTGTAAGAGTTAAATGGCAGCCCTGCCCTCTAGCAGAGGAGCATTATGGTAAGGTGCTAAGGGATATAAATATAGTTTCGGTGGGGAGTCCCCAAGGAGGAGGGGAGAGGAGAGTGTGTGGAAAGACTGGTCCATGGGAAGATAGAGGACCAGGCACACCAAGATGTAGAAGCTGAATATTTCTGTCAGTTTTACCACAGTCCAGCACGTGTCCACCATTACATTACAGATATACCATTGTTCACTTAATAAATAAGATGACGCTATATTCACTTCATGTGCTAGCAAAAAGACAGTTTTTTATTTTTTTTTATTTTGCTTGCACTATATTGGGTATTTAACTTTAACAGGTTAGATATTATTTTGCAAAGTATAGATTCATTTTGATAATTGAACATCCTCTTCTCCTTTAGTAAATCAACCTCTATAGGTACTTTGGTATATGGTTGAATACAAAAATGTCAAAGATACACAATCAGAGAAAATGCAGACTCATATATTTATTTATTTATTAATAAAGTTTAATAACAATGTGCTTCTTTAAGAGAAACCATTAGCTATACAAGGGTACAGGTGAGCCAAAATAAAGGAGCAGCAAATCAGAGTAACTAGAGATGGAAAAACTCATTTAAAGTAGAGCGCCTGGCAGATACAAATAATGGTTCCCGTTAACCCATTCATGTTCATGTTCTTAAAAATGTAAAATGCCATTGTTATAATTGAATGAGGTCAATCTTTATTTTATCTGACCACTTTTTACAATAACCCCCTGCATAGTAAAATCAAATAAAGTGGCTGGTTATATTTTGTGAGCCAATCAGACACAATGCAATTATGTACGTTTCCTGTTTGCTCACCAGATGTCGCTATAGGTGAAAGGGAAGTGTTGTGACTTCGCACAGTCGGCGTGTTTTTGCATGGCGTGTTCATGGCGTGTTTATGTGCTTAGTAAATCAACCCCTAGGAATCACTGTAAGAGTTAAATGGCAGCCTTGTCCTCTAGCAGAGGAGCATTATGGTAAGTTTAATAACAATGTGCTTCTTTAAGAGAAACCATTAGCTATATGAGGGTACAGATGAGCCAAAATAAAGGAGCAGCAAACCAGTGTAATTAGAGAGGGAAAAACTAATTTAAAGTAGAGTGTTTAAAGTACCCAGAGAGGCTCTAAGATGTTGAATAATTGTGTTCAGATCCAGGATGAATGCATTTAGTTGTCTCACTGGAGGTCTGAATTGAAGTGTAACTCCAGAAAGCCCAAATTGTTTTTTTAAGGTTTGGGTGCATTGGTTAGAACCTCGGTCAGGCTATGATTGTTGTTTCTCTACTGGGCAGATTTATCCTTAATTCCTATCTTAGACACTACAATCAATAATACAGGAAATAGGAAAAACTGCATGAAAATGGACACCGGTATCAATAAGGACATGACAAAGGTTTTATCGATTCCCCACTCTATAAATATAAGGTGCATATATATTGCTGTCAACATTCCCATCAGAAGTGTTTATCCCACTATATGTTATGTGAGTTAGGTTTATTATTTTAGGTGACTAATACATTAATCATACATGTATAAGGATTTAACAAGTCAAGCATGGCTAGATTCTTCTTCACACATAGATAGCACCACAGCCTTATCACATATAGCAAAACAATTGGAAATTGGGCAATGGGACTATGGGGAGGCTGACCACATCTTCTATTGGGCAGGGAAACAAACTTTTTGTGCCAACAGGAATGTACTATATGTACTGCCTATGGGTGATATTCCCATTTTATTCCCTTAATGTTGTTGGGAATCAGTATCTGTCTAGGTCTCTAAATTTGGATCTTGAACTTGGCAATAGTTGTGGGGATCCCCTAATGATCTACAAGTAATTTAGCTTTGATGAGATTAGATTTGTAATGATAGGTCTATTTAATTTATTTATTAGGTGGTGGATGTTGCTTATTCAATAGGATATGGTATGTTAGTCTACTGAACATCGGGCTTTACACATTCATGCCATGAAATGAGGTACAGGTAATTCTATGGGAAGCCATAACAACTAGGGGGTTTATAAGTGGTTCCCTTTTCTTATGGCACAGTTAACTGGGTGGTTATTGATGGATAATGTATTCTTGTTTTGTTTCTATAGATAGTGATTCTGACAAGATCAGTCTTAGCTTGATTCAAATGAATCCCAATAGGTAGACAGCAACATCCAGTATATGTGAAAGAAGTATATTTTAGATCAAAGCAGTTTCTCAGATAATGAAAGCCAGGAAAGATTTATTGATGTTATTATTGTTTTTTAGATAACTTCTTGGCACCAAGGTCACTGCCCCCTTATACAGTATATATCCTTTCTGGCTCTCTTGGGGGTGCTGTTTGTTTGCTGGGTATGTCTTTGGGACCTAAGGTGCTGTATGCACAAAAGATGAGTCTTACTAAATCAATTGTAATGATTGTAATTAATATGAATTAATGCATACACATAAATATGTACTGTATATGGTATATGTGGTATGTGTATATATGGTATGTGTATATTGTTAAAGACTTTACATTTGCTTGCTTATAGAAGTATTTTCTACATCCTTATGAAGTGGTTTAACTTAACTGCAAAAAGCATTCAATTCCTGCCCTTCTCTACCGGATAATACAGTGAGTGGACACTATAAAGAATTTATTTTGTAATATTTTGAAAATCCATGACTTATGGGGTCTGTTAAGTGTAGATGTGGATTTAAATTGTTTGACATGCCAAATGCATGCATCAGATTGTTATGGTGAATAATTGTATAAATGTATTGTATAATGAAACAGTGATTTTAAGATTTTAAAGACATTTCTTTTTTAATCCAATTAAGCAGGACCTGAAAAGCACTATTGCTCAACTTCCTATTGTTTTGCTATACATGTATAAGAACATTTCTGTGTAGCTGGTAAACCCTTTTCTAAAAAATGTAAAATAATAAAATACTGCAGAACCACAATAAGGACAATCCAGGTGAAGTGGCACTGTTATTTTCTTCAGCCTTACAAAAATCACAACCTGTACCACACAAATCACATATGTCAGTTGACTTCAAATTATATATTCTTGAGGCAGAGCTACCTAGAAACAAAAGAAAAGAAAAAAAACGTTAGCATTACTTGCAATGTACCTTTTATAGGGAGCAGGATACACTTGCTAATATTTTTTTTAATCTCCTTATAGCATGACTTACAGTTTAAATCATGCAAACTTAAAGTGACATTAAAGGATATTTTTTTTCCCTCCCCCCCAATGTTAATGTCAGCACTTACCTTAAATGATGTCTCTTAATCCGATCTTCCTCTTCTTTCCTGATGTTTTCATCTGTCCCTCCAGCGGTGCGGTGGCACTTCCGATCCAGCAGTGTCTGCATGCGGGTGCACGCGTCCATAGACTTACCTTGCGTCTCTGCTCGTCTCCCGGTCCCAGAATCCGAACTGCGCATGCGCCCGCCCCAAGATGCTTTGCGGCCGTCGGAGCAGTTTCGTTTTCTCGGACGGGAGCTCGCAGCGAAAACAAGGTAAGTTTAAACCGCTGTTAAAGCATTTTTTTTCAAACTTTTGCCTATGTCTACTGCTTGATAGCAGTAGATATAGGCAAAAAAAACCCGGAGGCTTTAGAAACCCTTTAAATACATAGAAACAGTGACCCTTCATAGGGTTTTACAGTTGTCACACTTTTTTCAAACTGGTCGAATTTGTGGGAAATCCAAAAATAAGCTAATCAATTGTATGTATTTTTCATTAATGCAATACAGTATGCAGTAATAGCTTTAGTAATTATAGCAAATTACCACGCTTATGCATAAAAATTCATAATTCACTCACCTACACTATAGTAGAGCCTGGACATCAAGGAAAAATTATGTCATATAAAGCCCAACTGACTTTTTGGTTTAAATAAGCCAAATACATTTCAGATGCATCAAAGAAAGAAAGGTGTGCAAAGTCTTACAGTTATTTATCAGACACAGTGTGAGGAGAAAAGTTTATTTCCTGCCAGAATGCTGCAGAGAAGGACCCTTTTCCTATGTGGCAGCATTTGTCTCTCTGCAGATGTTCAACAAACCTCCTGCTGAGAGACCTATAAGCTCTCCAATCAGCAAAGCTCTTGCTCCCTGCTGATCAGAGAGCTCTAGCACTGACTCAGCAAGGGATGTGTCAGACTTCTGCAGAGAGTCCACTGCTTCTACACAGAGAGCAAGCGTCCTTCTCTGCAACATGTTAACGGTAGACAGGTTTTTACTCAGGATGAGGCTTCTTTCTAAAGGGGACAAACTGTAAGACTTGTAAAACTTTTATGTTGAAGCAGCTTAAGCTAAATGTTCAAGTGCACTTTAAGCATACTCAGTCAAAGTTGAATATTAAGCATAAAATACATAGGAGAAACAAGATGCCTGCTCCAAGCTCTCTTTTTTTTCCATATTAGCATTATTTGACCACACCAGGCCTTCCCCCTGTGTAAAAACCTTGTATACATTTTCTAAGTTTTCTCAGAAAATGTGACATAAGGATGAGTGGTGGGATTTTGGCAAAACTGAATTTGACACAAACTTTTTTATTGTGCTGCAGCAGGAATTCTCTATTTTGCTCACTGAACTGCTTAAGCAAAGAGAGAAGGTACATACAAGGCAGTTTGGTTTATTTCATCTAGTGTTCTTTATATTTGTTTTTTCTTTCCTTTTGCGTTGGTATGTGATTGATATTGGTATACTGTTGCTTAAATGCATTTTACTTTTTTAAAGAGATGCACACAAAATGGTCCAGGACTGTTAATAGTTGCTTCCATAACCTCTCTGATCAGCCCTGCACTACAATCTGTAGAAAGCACCGCATGTAGAGTGATATCATTCTCACTGACTGAGTTTACAAGGAACACATGCATAATCTGGATGTAAAGGATCATGAGAAACGTTGCATCAGAATTGTTTTATTGTTGTCAAGGTTAATTGTACTTTTTAAAACACATGAGCTCTTTTACAGAGTCCAAGGACAACAAGCAATTATACAAATATAACCTCTTCCCTTGTTTTGCGAGGTGTAACATTACTTTGTTTGCAATGAGATTTTTGGCAGTGTGCACTGTACAGTGTAGAGAACAACATGACTGCAAACTATCCCATGTGATTCCAGGCAGCCAATTGTGGTAAGCAGAATGCACATATTTAAAGATCCTTTATGTCATTCATGTTTTCAGTCCCGGTTTGAGTGTTTATTTTCACTATACAGTGCAGTATGCAGAAAAGCTGAATAATCAAATAATCAAACCATTTTTAAATAAGGATTGTTTCCCCCCTGACTTGTGTGGGATTCCAAAAATTCAGGAAAATCATGATTAATCAAAACTTCCCATGATTCAATTATCCCTATACAGAATCACCCTATTGAATATTGGCTTGTTCTTTATATTAGGAGTCTCCACTGTAGGTCAGGTAACTATATTTTGTATACTTCCTGATGTATTTTGTTGGTTCCTAACGTAACCCACGTATTAAAAGCCAATCTCTGAACAAGAACAAGAAAAAAACCTTACAGAGCCCTCACAGTGCAAGGGTTAAATACTTATTAATGCTAGGGGGGAGAGCTAGAGGCTGTATTACTTACTGTATTCCATGCTCTGGCAGCCTCCAGCGCTCTTCTCCCTAATGCTCCGTGCTATTGGAGGTCCCTCTGCGTCATTATGTAAAATGCAGGGCTATTAGCCCTGTGTTGCATGTGGGGAAGTAAGCATGAAACTGGGAGTGCTTTGAGAGGAGGCATTGGGGGGCTAGTCATACAGATGGAGGAAATTTGCAGAAGCGAGGAGTAAAGTAAGCATTACCCCTTATTCCTCTACCTGTAGACTTATTGAGCATTTAACCCTTGAAATGGGGAAGGAGGGACACTATAAGGGTACATTTTTTTTCTTGTACCTGGAGTTGGGCTTTAAACTTTCTTTGCTGCAGAAATCAATTGTTAAAGTGATATTAAAGCCATTTTTTTAAAATTCTCCTTTAAGGAGACCCTCCTTTGCTGGAGGCTGTTTTTCTTTTTAAAGTACTTCTTTCCTCGTTTTATAGTTTGTCCCCGCCATGCTCTCTCCCCCGCCCCCTGCACGGGTGCCACCATCGTTCTAATGGAGGCACCTGTGCGCACTCGTCCCCGCAGCGGCTGTGTGCGTCCATAGACACACACAGCCCTGTGAAATGCCACGCCCCTTCCTTCTTTGATTGATGGCAGAAGGAGCCTTCTGCCAGGGGGTACGATCCTCCGTACCCCCTGAAGTTTGGGGTACGGAGGATCGCTTCAGGACCGGCGGCGGGGACGAGCGCAGCTGAGAGGTAAGTGTGGGGGAGACTGGGGTAAAAAAAAGGTCCTGGGTTTTTACCCTAATGCAGAGAATACATTAAGGTGGAAAAACGCCCAGACCGTAATACTACTTTAAAGACAAGAAAGACATTGTCATTTTATTAAAAAAATATTATTATCAATAGTATTCATCATTCAATCTTAAAAATAAACTTTTATTGAATTTAAATATAATTTTAAATATATGTACTTACTTGGGTTGTAATAATCATATATTTTGATCAGTGCATCTTGGGAACTGGCTACTTTTGAAGAGCGTACCATTGGGACAGGCACACATACTTCCTTTCCTCTCACCTAAAATGTAATCACGTCAAATTAATTAGCTCAGTTTGCCTTACATTTATTTTCGGATGTTTAGACTATTTTATATAATTAAATGTGACAAACATTTATTAAACAGTTTCAATTCTTTTGAAATGTCACTTAATCAGCACCAAGACCAGTACATGTAAAAAAAGCAAGTAAGAACACCCTGCAAAGACCTACCAGCTGGATGTTATCTCCTCAGAGAACAGAGGTAGCTGCATTTACAACTGCATCCAGGCCCAGTCACAATACGTGAATCTCATTACAGTTTCATGGTCCCACAGGCTAGTTTTTCATCTGATGCTCCCTTCCCCACAACAGTAACCTAAAAGAAACTGGGGCTTTTGTTTCTCAAATACTGCTAGTGCCTCTAGCTAAAGCCAAGGCCAAAGTAGTCCCTAACCATGCAAAGTCTACAAAGTACTCTGGATTTTGTTATTTTGATAGGGTTCCATTCAGAATTATTTTATTTAGGGATCCCAAAATAATGGTAAACTGACAGTCAGGAGTCCCAGAAAATGTTACAAGGACAGTTAGGAGAAAGATATATAGACTAGGAACTTGTGTCCTGGAGCAGTGTTTGTCAACCCGTGTAACCTCAGGACCCACATTTGTCCTTAGTCATTAAGTCGTGACCCAAGCCTGCAATGTCTGCACTGCAATGGAACACACGGCATTAGGGTACCGCACATTCTGGTTCGGGCGTACGAACTGTGGGTGAGAGGTACGTTTGGGGTACCATTTAAATGAATGGCAACGCAACACGCCTCCCACACCAGAATTCATGTTAGGTGCGATTGCTTGGTATAGTGCATTAATCTCAGAGTACTATGCGATTAACGCACAGTACTAGAGTGGACAGGCTCTCAAAAACACTGACATACACACACAACCGTAGACACATTCTCACACACGCATACACACTCCAAAGTTTTTTTCATTTTTTTTCAAGGTCTACCCAGTCTCCCTATCTTATGAGAACTAGAGTGGATACTCAGCCTGGGGTCCAGTGTGGGCTTCTGCGCTGTGACTGAGCTCTATCCATATGTGAATTGCTTGTACAGCCCTCTTGCTCGCCCTGTAGAGGTGCTGGGAGTCAGAATGTGATGTCAGTCCAGGCACCTCTCCAGGACACGCGAGGGAGCTGTAAGCAATGCATGTATGGATGGAACTCTCTTGTGGCCACAGCCCTACCCCACCTCAAGCTGACACTTGGCGCCGAGCAGCATATTTTGAATGCCTGCTTGAAACAAGAAATGACAGTGCTGCGCTAGAGGGAGGCAGAGGAGCCTCTCACCTAGAAAAGTGGAAGACATGCGGCGACCCACTGAACACGGGGTCGTGACCCACTTTTGGGTCACGACCCACCAGTTGAGAACCAAGGTCCTAGAGCATCATATGTGCTCTTTTCTAACCTTACTTATTACTCTGTAAGTGGGACCAAGGTGCATATCCTTTTTCCAGCCTAATAAATGCCTCTGCTCAAAAGCATAGTCATGTAATGTCTTTACAGTGTGCCACTACATTATCAGAACCAGAACACCTACCGAATCAAGGTAAATGTGAACTCCCTCATTATCGGTCTCAACTTTCTTAATTAATTCACTCGTAGGGATTCCTTCAGGACTCATGGTGAATCCACTTACAAATCCAACCTCTAGAATAGCCATGCCACTTTGATTCCATTTTCCCAGATAGCTGACAAGAATGAAAAATACTGTGTTATAAATGTGCATGTTTCACTTGTCATATGATACATTTTTTTCCTTAAAGTTCAGGAATATATTATAAAAAGTTACAGTTATGTAGTCATTAAAAATTCCCAACATGTATTTATAAATGCAAGTAGTACCTCCATTTGATTTGGTATCTATCTCTTTTAACAATATAAATATGTGTTCACTACTGTATTTGTGTGCTGGGTGTCCATTTTGAATAAATAGCACTGTACTGCAGATCATGCGTTACAAAAATATGTAAAATTTTGAATTTTAAATGGGTTGGCTGTGTACCTTAAGCACAAAAAATGGAGATGGGCCCTTTTTTTTAATGCAGCCCAAAACAAAGCAGTGTTTTATCGCATGTTACCTCAGCACACAGGTCTGAATGGGCTCCAAAAAAATTGATCAACTGATGCGCTCTCAAGGTAAAGTTATAGTAAAGTGAACCTGGTTCTGAATTACTTACATGTAAAGTTAAGTGAAATTAACCTGTGTTTATTTCAATCATTCAAGTGCATGGGAAGCGGAGAAAAAAAAAAGTTGTTGATTTAATGAATGAGGTCCCTAGAGTTTTTGGGAGTTTCTATAGCTGGAGGTTCTGTCTGTATTTGCCAAATCTGGGGGCCTAGGAGTGCCTTTGTCACTGGAGACTAGATAATAGGAACTGAGAAAGTGGCAGTCAAAAATTGTAATGACATACTGTGCAAGTAAACCTTTAAAGGAGACTGATGTCAATATGGTTGATTTTTTTGTAAATAGGATTAATGTTAACGTAGTCCTGCATTCACTTAAGAGAGTTCTAAAGTCACAGCATATACTATCCTGTCATAACAGCACAATTATAATACTAATGAATACATACTAGAGTTGTTTTTGATAATGCAATTAAAGCACTTGAAATAATCTATTTGTTTTGCAGTGAGTTCTGCCTTCTGTCTGCCCATCACTTTTATCATCTTCCTGGATTCCCATTGTGCATTGCATCTCTTTCCCTGCTGCTTGATGTGGTGCAATCTCAGTTTCTCAGTACTACATATTCCATTATGATTGCTTCCAGTAAGCAATGATAATGCTACATCGTGGGAAGTTCAGACTGTGAACTGTAGTTCAAACGACAGGCTTAGTAAAGCTGGCCATGCACTGCGATTTTCGTTTGTGAATTTCCGTTGCTGCCAAGAACCCTCTTTTGATTCTAGCTCAAATAGCCCATCAAGCACAGACCAATGTAATTTCGAAAATCGTTTGTAGCAATACTAAGTCACTGAATTTCACCGATCGACAGAACGACAGAAAAAAATTGTTGGGTCCCCATCAACTGATCGATTATCCTTCAAAAGACCATTCGTGGACAAGTTCTGAACGTTAATTGATAGGTGAATTGGCACCTCTAGAGTGATGGCCCAAGGAAGTGCATATTCACAAGGTTGAGTGAAATTGTGTCAGTGCATTGAAGAGATACATCCTATGGGCATCTTCAATAAGTACGTTTACAAACTTCTAGATCAATATGGTTATTAGGAGTGGGATAGAACTTATGGAACTTTTTTCGAACATAAGGAAATTCAAAATAGAAATACATTTTCTTTTCTGTTTTTGAACATAGTTACCCTTTAAAACTTCCAATCATGTGCAGGGGAAATGTAAAAAGTTCCAATAGGCTACTTATTACAGCAACCACATTTAGAAAGATACTTCTAGTTAGCATGTGTAACCCTGACCCCCGAAGGCCTGTGGTGGACACCCAAAGGCAGGAAGGGCTGACATTTCACTCTCAGGGGTGGATCCTTACCCGGGTTGGGAAATGTGATCAGTAAATTGGGCACCAGTCACTTTAGGGACTTTTTTAGATGCTTTATTATACAACAGCCAAACTGGGAGAGAGGGTATAGGGATGCATAGTGATTAGCTGGTGAGGCATAGACACTCCTGATGTTCCCCTATTGGCTGCCTTACTTTGTGGCAGGGTCACACCCCACTCACAGGTAGGTGCAATCAATAGCAAAATACCTAGAATTAAATGATACCAGACTACAAATCAACCAGACTGATTATAGTGCTAGCTGTTGGAAATACAACAGCATATATTATATCTTTTGAGCTGTATATGGCGCTGTAGTGCAATGCTAGTCTATGCTAGTCTGTATCTTCATGCTTTGATACATACAGGAAGTTATCTCTGTATGCTGTATAAGGATGTTTCTGATATAATGTTATCCTAACCAAGTAAAACTTAATTCAACATTCTTGAAGATCTCAGTGCTTCCTCTAAACACATAGCCAACAGGTTATAGGCCCATGCACTAAACTGAACACTGCAAGTCAACAAGAGCCACATCCAAGCTACTGAAATATGCAAGTAGTTCAGATATGAAGTTTGTAATGACAAATACCAACAATACCAACTACCAGCTATGGAAGTTCAAGGTTGAAATGCTGCTAAGCAAAGATGACTTGTGGCAAGTACTGAGTACAGACAGGCCCACTAATGGACCCATGGAGGAATGGGACAAGAAAAATAGGCAAGCAAAAGCAATTATAAGTATGCTAGTGTAAACGACCAGCTTATACACATCAGAAAAGAAAATATAGCTAACGGTATATGGACTGCATTACAAAAACTGCATGAGCATTCAAACCTAAACAGTAAACTATATATGCTATGCAGGATGAGGCTAGAAAAAGGCCAGGAAATGAGTGAACATGTGAATGCCCAGCTGGAAATCATAGAATAGCTATGTGCAATTGGAGAGGAAATTAAAGATAACCACGTGGTGGCATTACTGCTATGCAGCCTTCCAGAGTCATACAGTGCTCTTATTAATGCTCTAGAAACCAGACCTGAGCAGAAACTAACACTAGACGGAAAGAAAATATGCACAATGAAGAAAACGAGAAAGCCCTTAAGGTGCAAAAGAGCGCTGAGCAAAACAAAGAAAGCAGAGCATGTTTTCGCTGTAAAAAGACTGGACACCTGAAAAAGGACTGTGTAATTTGGAAAGCTAAGTAGCGAAAATGAGAGGCACCTAGCTAAGGCACTACCTTTAAAGAACAGTATACCACGTGGATGGTGTATTGACTCAGACGCAACAACTCACATGACTAGTGATGAGACCTTTTTCACAGAACTTGATTTCAGTGCAAAGGACAAAGTCTTCCTAGCAAATGGGAAAAGTATTACTGCAAAAGGTAACAGTCAAGGATTCTTGAACTGCATCACACTGTCAGGGGACAAGCAGAGCATCCTCATGAAAAATGTACTGTATGTCCCTGACCTAGATGGAAGCCTTCTATCAGTGAAAACCCTTGCTAATTACAGTCTCACAGTTCAATTCTGAGATTATAATTGTACATTCGAAACAATAAGCCAATCCTTGAAAAAGGAAGACTAGATGAATAGTTATACAAACTCATCACCAGAGACGAGCAAGTCAAGACAACCACTCATAATCCACACAGCAAATGTATCCATTTGTAACCTTTAACCTATAGCACAGATGACTAGGGCACCGAAACACTAAAGCCATAAAGAACATTATAAAGAGAGGCTCATCAGAAGATATAACCATACTGGCCTACCAAATGCTCAGGACATGCAAATGCTGTATGCAAGAAAAGGCCACACATACCCCACTTCCACAGACCACTCAAAGAAAGACCACCCACCCCTTGGAGCACATACACCGCGAAGTGTGCGGACCCATGAAAACTCCCACTTCAGGCAGGTACAAATATTTACTGACTTTAATTCCTATTTATTCCAGGTAAACACCAACTTATCTGATGAAGCACAAGAACTAAACATCAGAAAAACTTCAAGAGTTTGTAGCCATGTCCAGCAACAAATTCCGACATAAACCAGGAATTCTACGCGCCGACAACGGAGGGGAATACATCAGGAACGAAGTGGAATCCTATCTGAAGAAACAAGGTATAGTGCACCAGACACCCACACCATACACTCCTGAACAAAATGGTGTAGCAGAAAGGAAAAATCGCACTCTTATAGAAATGGCTAGGTGCATGCTGTAAGATGCCAACCTACTTAAGAAGTATTGGGGAGAGCAGTCATGACTGCAACATAGCTTCAGAACAGACTACCTTCAAAAGCCATTGATAGCACCCCATTTAAAATGTGTCAAGGATTGAAGCCTAGCCTAGGGCACAGTAGAGTGTTTGGATGTAAAGCTTATGTCTATATTCCAAAGGAGAAGCGATACAAATTGGAGAACACAGCCATAGAAGGTATTCTGGTGGGCTATAATGAACAAAGTAGGGGATATAGAATCCTCCACCCAAAGACTAACAAAGTGACAATAAGCTGCAGTGTTTATTTACATGAGGACCCATCACCAGAAACATTGATCCCAGTAAGCTGTGAAGTGAATTTGCCCAGTGAACCAGCAAAGAAAGCTGAGCAAAGTGAAGCTGCACAGGAATCAGAACAAGAGGTGGAACTCACAATGCATAAGTCAAGTTCCATGTTAAATTCCGCTGAACAACCTGAAATTAAAAGATCCACTCGAGCGGCAAAGTGAATACCACCCTGCAAGCTGTCACATACTGCTAAGACATATAGCATACTTGAACCAACATCATGGGAAGACATAGAAAAATCACCAAAACACGAAGCCCATCAATGGCGACAGGCAGCAGAAGAAGAAATAAAATCACTCCAAGAAAATAAAACCTGGGCACTCACGGAGCGTCCCCCTGAATCGCAGAACTATAGGAAATGGAATGTTAAGATGAAGCTTGTTGCAGAAGGAAATATCCACAACTACAAGGCCATATTAGTTGCCAAGGGATACTCCCAGAAATGCGGGGAAGACTACGATGAATCATTCTCTCCCATTGTAAAACATTCCACCATCAGAACACTCCTTAGCATCGCAGCCGGGAAGGGTATGCAAGTGAGACACCTAGATGTTAAAACTGCTTTCCTATATGGAGACATTAAGGAAGATCTCTACATGGAGCAACCACCAGGGTTTGAGCAAGGACACAACCGTGTGTGTAAGCTTCAAAAGAGCATCTACGGGCTCGAGCAATCTGCAAGAATGTGGAATGAGAAAGTGAATGAAATACTCATGAAAGAGGGATTCACAAGATGCAAAGCAGATCCCTGCCTATATTCCAGGAATAAAGAAGACAGATGGATATACATCCTAATTTATGTTGATGACATTATAACCTGTTTTGAACAAGAAGGGGACTATAGTGATATACAGTAGTTCACAAACTAAAACAAAACTTTGAAATCAAAGAAAGTGACTGAGCTAGGAAACATCATTCAGTATCTGGGAATCCAAATAGAGAGAGAAGAAGATGGAAGCTATCTTCTCAACCAAAGTCAGAAAATTGCAGACATTTTGGAACAATACAAACATGCAAAGTGAAAAGGAAGTAACCAGGCTCCCAAAAGAGCAATGAAGCAGAAAACTCGCTACCCAACAATGACATGTACCGCAAAGCAATTGGAAAGCTACTATACATTGCCACTGTGTCAAGACCAGGCATAGCGACAGCAGTGGGCATACTCACTAGAAAAGTTGCAGCACCCTGTCAGCGTAACTGGAATACAGTAAAGAGGGTAATACAATACTTAAAAGTAACAATTTGGATGAAGCTATGACTGTCAGCAGTGTCAAATCCAAAACAAGTTGGATAAGCACATGCTGATTGAGCCAGAGACTGGACAGACTGCAAATCCACATGTGGTTACATCTTCCAATACGGCAAAGGAACCATAAGTTGGTTCAGCCGAAAGCAAACATCTGTTGCACTTTCCTCAACTGAAGCTGAATACATAGCAGCAGCACATGCTTGTCAAGAAGCAATATAGATTCACCAGCTTTTAATGGACATGGTTATAGACATGTCAAACCCCATCCCAATCTTTGGAGACAACCAGGGATGTGTAAAGCTGACACAATCAGAAAGGGTTTACCCTAGAACCAAGCACATCGACGTGAAGTATCATCCGCTAAGGGATTCACGAAAGCAAGCTATTATCGGCATGCAATATTGCTCATCAGAAGAAATTACTGTGGATGTACTCACCAAGCCATTGCCAAAGGATCGTCACAGTTTCCTTTGAGAGAAGCCAAATGTCATATACAGTACTAACACATATGCTGTAGAGAAGGGGTGTTGGAAAGACAACAGCATATATTATGTCTTTTGATCTGTAGATGGCGCTGTAGTGCAATGCCAGTCTATGCTAGTCTTTATGTTCATGCCTATCTATGATATATACAGGAAGTTCTCTCTGTATGCTATATAATGCTGTTTTCTGATGTAATGTTCTCCTAAGCAAGTAAAACTTAATTCAGCATTCCTTGAGATCTCAGTGCTTCATCTAAACACATAACCAACACTAGCAACACTAAATTTAAGTAGCCAATTCACTCAGGGTGGAAGGGGTTACACGTGTTAATAGCTTTGTTTAACTGCTTTAAGTAGCCAGTTAGATTCCCTCTTTCATTTTATGCAGAAATTACACAGTAATTATGATTTTCTTTTTCTATTAGCATCAACACTACTAACTTATTTTCCTTTCTCAAGAATTATCTAAAAGGACAAATTTGTGTGTTTGATTCTTAAAACTGCACATATTGATAACACTACAATTACTGTTATATAACCATATGTACAAGCATAACTGATTTTGAATGTAGTTAAAGATAAAAGGGAAAAAAATACTGCAATCCTGCATTTTGAGAATGTCTAAACAGCATACCTTGTGCATATTTGTGCAGAAAGACGATCAGTACTTTTTGTGTCTTCTTCCACTGATACGTCTAATGAGAAAGCTTCTGAAATAGAAGCACTCCTCTGCCTGGAGGTTGTTTTCAGGTTATATATTAAATTGAGCTGCAATATAAAATGAATATAGAACATGTCAGTTTAATTAGATTATTACATTACAGTAAATATTTTGGGTTTTAATTTTGAATGTTTTTTAAAATTAATGTATGCATTTTATTCTTTTAGGCAGGTACATATAAAATATTATGTAATGATGTATAATATTTTTAGCCATGAATCATTTAAGCTCCTATTTAAATGTTTACTGCTTAGCTGAAAAAAATCTGTTACCAGAACTGCATTGACAAACCACAGAGTTGCTTTAAGGAAATTGATTAAAATAGTATACTTTAATCCACACCTTTTTCAGATGATTTATATGTCAAACCCTGGATAGGTTTAAGGCATTTTGTATATATTCTGATTAAAGAAATGACAAAAACTAGTCATCAAAAACTAGTGCTGCAAACAGTAAATATAAGAACTCTCAATGTTGAATTTCCAAATTGCAGATAATATGAAATTCATTTTGTAGGGTTGTATTTTCCAACAGGAAAGCTAAACACGTGACAACAGGCACCCACTACCGATGGGGTGCAGTTTATAAGGACCATCTACTCCACCAAACGTGGGCACAAGAGGAACAGCAAATGTGTACACCTGAGTAAAACATTGGAAATGTCTGTGGGTTTTTAACAAAAATACCTCCCTTCTTAGACCTCAGATGCTGCAATGACCAACTGGAACTATAAAAGAAGCATCCCTCCCATGGTTAGTATTTCTGTTGTGCACCACTGGGGTTCTTGGTTTGAGTCTCGGCCAGGAGTTTGTTCTCCCTGTGATTGTGTGGGTGTGTACCAGGTACTCTGGTTTTCTCCTACGTCCCTGAGGCACGGTGGCTGGTTAATTGGCTCCTGTCTAAATTGTCCCTAGTGTGTATGTGACTATGAGGGACCTTAGACTGAGGGCAGGGACTGATGTGAATGAATGGTAATGCAAAGTGCTGCATCACACCTGTAATAAATACGATTTACACAATGTTAAGAAATCATTTGATGGGTTGGGGTCACAACAGAGACAGGGCTTTTAGTGTGGTGTGTACTGATGGATGCAGTGGAAGGCACCAGGTGTTCTGAGTTATTAATTTGGCCCTGCATTTAGAGTTTGGATTCATAGGTACTTTTCCTGGTACTTTTTTGTTTTGCTGTGTTTACTTACTGCAGTTCAAATACACCTCAGCCGATGGAGACTAAAGTACATACTTCAAGTAAAAAGGATGAGTACTCATCAACACCAAACATAAGGCAGTGAGATGAACTAAGGCTTTCTACTGTTTGTTTGGACTGATTGCTTATTTTTACATATACAGACTGTGCATGTAATAGCTTTGTTTAATGAAGTACCTGTACAACAGCCAGTCCTCTTCCAACGGCGGTAACATTGATAGAAAGTGGTTGGGAAACTTCAATCTAACATAAAAAAATTCATGATTAGAAATGTGTGTCTTGCAATTGTACCATTACTACACAGGATAATTTACCTGCTCGCTTTGTAACAACATGAGGTTTTCACTGTTGACCTCAAATACTTTTGGCTTCCTCGCTTTTAGTCCAGTAACAGACAGAGTGAGTGATGTTTCATTAGATGGGGCAAAAGGCATACATTTGGACAGAGCCTGTAAAGCCATAATTGTGTCCTTAAAAAAAGAGAGATATTAGATGCTAGCTCATCACTTATAGAAGTATATTTTACACAGGTTTATTGTTCTTTTTCTTTCTTTGCCTTTTTTAAATGCATGATCAAATAAAATAATCCTTTATCCACATAAGTGAAAGAAGGTATATGGTGCATAAACTCTTCCACGTTCCTACACCACTGCCTGGGCCACTGATCAAGAATATCATTGTGCTTGTAATTTAAGAGCATGTTTGCATTGTTTTTAGGCACCATTCTCTTGAAGCACCTATGTGGTGTCAAAAGATATATAGGCTGTTATAAACATTGCAGGGCCGCACATATTTGAGGCCATTCATTCCTTCAGATATCAGTCTGCATACCCACTTTACTTGACTCACATCTTTAGAAAGGACAACATGTTCTTTTTATTAATTCAGAAATAGAAAACACTAGAAATCTGTCAGTTTTAAATAGTGATGGATTTGCAGATTTAATGAAGTAGATTTAATGTCAGGAGTGAACTGAGCATATGTTTGCTTTTCACTCATCATTCCAACACAAGCCATTGTTACTACATAGGCAGAGTATGGACACTGTCTTTAAATTGCAAACAGGCATGCTTTAAGAACAAGGCAAAGGTTCTACAAATATTCCTGGAAAACATGACTTACTTGTGTAGATATAAAACCACCAAGGTGGTTTCTTTGCTGGCCCAGCCATTTCATGACAAAGATTCCATCTTCAAATCTATTCTGGTGATAATAGGAAAGCAAAGCATAAGCTGCTGTCTCGATATCTGTTGTCCTTGGAATCCAGTAATAGAAGGTGTTTTCAGAAGGTGAAGACCAGTACTTGGATGATCCTGCATAAATAAACAGGTTTGTTTATTCCTGTAAATGTGAGTAGAGAGTCCACATAGTTCCTCAGCCTATGTAAGTGGTTTGGCATTCAGATTGCTTGAATGTCTCCAACCTTCTTTTTTCAAAGTATTACCCAAATTATTATAAGATTTGGTTATTACTCTGAGCTCATATCAAGTACCTTGTAAATAAACACACATAGGTTAGAATCTGTTTTTAAGGTTTTTGTAAAAGACACAGCGGGGTTTCTCTTCTTGGCGGCCAGGAGCGGGAGGCTCCCAGAGCGCCCGGGGGATTTTTTAAATTTGTAAATTTTTTTTTTTAACAGCAGCAGAGCCGCTATTGAGCCGCGTACAGCAGAGGACGCCGCGGGCTCGCAGGGACAAGCTGAGTGTCACTTTTCTGTGCAGCCCCGAGCCAGACTCGGGATTACCGCCAGGGAGGTTAAAGAAGATATTTCCTTATTTACAGTTTTGATTGCTTGTGTAAAGCTAATACCTCTACCAGTGTACTTACCTGTAATAGTAGCTCTTGAGGTGAGCTGATCCAAGGCAGCCTTTGCTTTGGGGCTCTTAGCCAGCGTTAATGCATATGCAACAACTGACAAGGAATAGTTGCTGGAAATCCCTTCATCAAACTTTTTCTCAAGATATTGAACAGCTTTTTGAATTCTGGACTCATAACGATGCTAAAAAAATGCATAGTTCAAATATTTTAACATTAATAAAATGAGGAACTCTTCCTAATAATTGTGTCAATAATCTGTTAAATCAAATGGTACCATGTATACAGTACTGTTATTTTTTTTTACCTTATTGCATTTACTGTATAAGGGTATAGGACATGAGTATAAAAACCATTTAGAAATCAAGTACTTTTATTTGCCTTTGTTAACCAAAAAATGACATAACCAAAGCTTTTACTATTATTGCAGTAGTATTACTATTGTATTGCATTTCTCCTCTAGAACTGGAGCAATGGTGAGCAATATTTAAACTGCCACAGCCCTTTGATCTGCTAGCAGACTAGTATGAAAGTAACTTTGTGAGTTATATGTTCTCATAGAAAATAGGTAACTGTTAGTACACAGGGTGGAGCTGTCATATTAATTATCAATAAATTGATTTTGTTTGAGATATTTATACGTACGCAACCTGGTAAATTTAGTGTTTTAATGTGGTATAATCTGTTCATGAGTTTGTGAATAAAAAAGTAATATACTATAGTAAATAAAATATGGGAATTTTCAAGCCCTACAATGATGTACTTACATTAATGTTCAATAATGTGCTTAATTTTAATGTTAGTTTAGGAATAAAAAAATTATGATACAAAAATAAAATAATACATTCAATACAGATGTATACAACACAAGTATAATAATAAAATAGATACGCTTATATATTTTATTATTAAACTAACCATAATTATGCAAACTAACTCTTGACTTTGCTAAAGCATTTGATACAAAACCACGCAAACATTTAACTCACAAACTAAGGTCTATCGGTTTGGATATAACTGTATGTACATGTGTGTAAACCTGGCTGAAGGAACAGGCCAGAGGGTAGTAATAAATGGTTAATTTTCTAATTGGGCAAAAGTTGTGAGTGGGGTACACCAGAGTTTAGTCTTGGGACAGATCCTGTTTATCTTATTCATCAACAACATAGAGATTGGAATAAATAGTTCAATATCTATGTTTGCAGATGATACTAAACTGTGTAGGGCACTAAATTCTCAAAAAGACATACAGGGTTATTCACAAAAGGGTAAAGAGTTTGGAGAAGGCAGGAGAAGGTAACAATCTAGGACAACACAGCTGAACTGGAAACTGAGTTGAATTGGAGAAATGTTCCAAATTAGCTATGTTGTCCTAGATTGTTCACTTCGCCTGCCTTCTCCAAACTCTTCACCCTTTTGTGAATAACCCTGTTAAATTCACTTCAACAGAACCTAGATACAATTGAGACATGGGCTGCAAGATAGCAAATGCGATTTAATCTTGAAAAATGCAAAATTATGCACATGGGAGCAAAGAACGTGCATGCAAACTACTACCTAGGGGGCGCTCCATTGGGGAGGTAGGACATGGACAAAGACCTGGGGCGTCTTCATAGATCACAGATTCAGCAATAGCATGCAATGCCAAACAGCAGCCAGCAAAGCAAAATGAATACTATCCTGCATTAAAATAGGAATTTTGGCAAGGGATAAAAACATAATGTTACCACTATATAAATCACTGGTTTGGCCTCATCTTGACTATGTGGTTAAGTTTTGGTCACCAGCCGTAAGGAAATTATTATTATTATTGAGCTTGATGACCCTAAGCAGCCCTGAAACTTTGCTATCTTTGTGACATGACGTTTACTCATCAATAAAGATGGATGTGCACGTATTCACGTTGGTGTGTTGGTGGCAATTCGTTTCTGCAACCCTCAGGAAAGACGAAATAAGACAATTCAGAGAATGGCTACAAAATGAATAAAGGGGGTGGAAGGCCTGAGTTACGAAGATCGCCTCTAGAAATTAAACTTGCTCTCCTTAGAAAAGACGTGCTTAAAGCAGAACTCCAGGATTTTTTTTTAACCCTTGTAATGGGGCTACCCCCACACTGCAAGGGTTAAATGCTCGTTTGTGTCTAGGTTAAAAAAAATAAAGATCTACATACCCAAAGCTCCAAGTCCCTGTCCCTGGAATTATTCTGCCCCTCCTCTGCAGCAATCTAAGTTCTGGTAAATCATCATGTCTATGCACTGTGCATAGACGTGAGGATGCTGAGGAACATTTCAATGTGCTGCTGCGGAGAGGACAGGCTGAAGGGAGCGCCATGACAGCTGGCCAGCTCAGAGCTTTTGGTGAGTATATCTTTGTTATTTTAGCAGCTAGAAACAAACGAGCACTTAACCCTTCAGTGCAGGGGTACCCCACTGCAAGGGTTAATAAAAAAAGTTCCTGGAGTTCTTCTTTAAGAGGGGACCTAATGGCAAGTTTCAAAATCATGAATCCGGAATAAGATGTTTACACCGACATCTCCATTGATGTCATGAGGACACAACATAAGGTTAGAAGAGAGGCAGTTTAAATTTATACTGTGCAAGGGTTTTTTTTTTTACTGTGTGAGTAGTAAAAAATGTTGAATTCCCTTCCACAGTCAGTAGTATCCGCTGATAGCATAGACATAGATAAATTCAAGAAACTTTTAGATGAGTTTCTTAGTTGACTAAATATACTAGGATATTGGAACTACTAGAGCTAAGTATATACAGACACACACACGCCAAAGTGCAGAAGGACTTCGATTCAACCGATCCAACATCTTGATTGGCTGAGCCAGTACCTCCATGGTACTAAGCAGAATAGAAAATAGTAGAAGAAAAAAAAAAAGTTAAACAACTATTTTAAAAATGTAAATAAATAGTGAAATTAATAAAGAAATAAAGATATTTTAAAAAAGAAAAAAAACAATTGGGTGGAGCTAGCAGTGACAGCTAGCTCCGCCCAAGCTACGGCTGGATCCGTCTGCTCCTTTGTGAATAACCCCCTGACTGTAAGTACATCATTTTAGCACCTGAAAAATACTATATTAGATTTAGCATGATTCACTCTTTGTGATCCTCCTCCTTTGGGGATGCAGTGCTAAGATATAATTGGGTGGTTCATATTTATTTATGTTCATAAATAAAAAAATACTTTATTTCATACTCACACTGTAATAGCTATCTTCTAACAGTGCGGTCAGAATATAAGCAGTGAGCGTGACTGGACCATTCAGCCCACCCTGAAGTTCATAATGAATAACATGCCCAGGCTCAGAGAATATACCCGTGTTTATATCCTGGTACTGAACCAGCCATTCCACTGTTTGATTCAAAACATCAGGATTGATATATATAAATGGTTGAGCCTGAAGGAAGCATCTAAACACAAAAGCTGAGAGCCTGCAAAAAAAATATTTTTTTTAACAATTTTGAAAAAACATTCATATGGAAAAAAAACAAAACACAAAATAAGTAACTACTGAGATTTTGTTTTTCTTACCATTAAAACTGACCAGTCACCTGTTAGCCTGCTCACCCTGCTAAATAAAAGTTAGCAGAAGCCCATAAAAGCATACTGATATGGAAGAAATTGTTGATCTGGAATTCCAGTGTTGTTTCAGCCAGTGGTTCAGCTGAATGCCTAGGCATCTGGTAGTGTTATTATATACAGTATTTTGCGGTCCATAAGACGCAGCGGACCATAGGACGCAGGGAGGTCCGGCGCGCCTTATGGAGCACTCGAGACTGTAGCTTCTGTGACAGCTTCTATGACAGAAGCTGTGACAGAAGCTGCAGTTAGTGACCGCTGAGACAGGTGGCGCTGTGATTACAGCGCCACGGTCTCAGTGATGACACAGAGCAGGCGAAGAACGTCTGTTCTTCGTCTACTCTATGGTAATCTCGATCGTCGCCGCTGCTCGGTTTTAATACGAGTGATCTCATTAGATCACTCGTATTAAACGAGCAGTGGCTCCTACTACTCGCCCGGCGCCCGAAACTGCATGTCTCGGGCGTCGGGATTCGCTCCATAAGACGCAGGCACTTTTTCCCCCTCCTTTTGGGGGGAAAAAAGTGCGTCTTATGGAGCGAAAAATACGGTATAAAGATCAGAGCAGAATAAAGAAAAAGAAATAGACATAAGGCCATATGTTTCTGAACAGCTGATTTCAAGTCTCTTAGCTCAGCTTCCCTGAACTTCCTGCCCAGTACAAGATCACATGGGACAGAACAGACTCCAGCAACTACTAGCTTGGATAAAGGAAGATGGAGGAGAGGGGGCCAGGGTTGAGGAAAGTAGCTTGATTTGCTGTGTCTTTGTGTTTGCAGAACTTAACATAGATGTCACCAGCACACCAGGATACCAGGATACATCTTGAATATCAGTGCAAATCCATTTTATTGATAGATGTCACTCAGACAAGTGTTTTTGGGGACGCACAGGGTCCCCTTTATCCTGAGGGTGGTGTATGTCAAGTGAAAACTGTTTTTTTTGCTTCCAGTAGAGTAAGGTAGTATTAGAACTCCTGTCCGGTTTTTACTGCTCCATTAGATTTACCAGCACTTCCTGCCCTGCTGACAATAGTTTTATTTGACAGGAAGTAAAGGGGGAAATCTGCAACAGGGGCACAGACAGATATAAAAACCTGACATGGGTTTTAGACTTACCTACTCTACTAAGGAAAAGCATTTGTATTTCTGTCTGCATTGCTAATGGAGATTTCACCTTACCTTCTGACTGTTAAATTTAAAAAGGACAGGAAGTGAGAGTAAACCTCGTCGAAAATGTCCAAAATGAAGAAAAGAGTTTTGCTGGGTATACACTTTAAAGTCAATTTCCAATCTAACAAAAATCCCTCACATATTTGGAAATCTTTGTAGCTACATGGGAGCTTTCTTCTTTCCCATTTCAGATTTGTTTTTGTGCCACCTTCTGGTGAGAGCTGGTATTGTAGCACAACCATCCAATCATAATTATGCCCTTAGTGGAGTTAAGTAGGAGCCTCCTCACATAATTGCTGTACATGAAAAGATTTCTACTATTTTATACTATAATACATACAGTAAAATCCCTGTTATCCGGCATCCACAGGGATTTATAGATTTCGGGCAAATGTAGATTCTGGGTGCTTGAGAATTAAAAATAGGTCTAACTAATGTCATACTATACCATACCATAACATATTCTGTATTGACTTCATAATAATATTGAAATGCAGTAATCAAAAGCAAATGAAGACAAATAGACACACAATCGTTTCGAGGATAATACATGCCGCTGATCAGAAGAACAGTGAGTACACAGGGGATTTTGTATTTCTGGTTAGATGAGAGTTCTGGTCAGTTGAATACCGGATAACTGAGAGTTTACTGTATATATAGAGTGCATTCAGAAAGTATTCAGACCCCTTCACTTTTTTCAATTTTGTTATGTTGCTGCCTGATACTACAGTTGTTTAAATTATTTTTTTGTTCTCATTAATTAGTACCCCATAATGACAAAGTGAAAACAGAATTTTAGAAATGTTTGCAAATGTATGAAAAAGTAAAAACTGTAATTTTACATTGACATAAGTATTCAGACCCTTTGCAATAACACTTGAAATTTATCTCCGGTGCCACCCATTTGTCTTGATCGTTGCTGAGATGTTTCTACACCTTGATTGGAGTCCCCCTGTTTTAAATTACATTGATTGGACATGATTCGCAAAGGCGCACACCTCTCTATAGAAGGCCTCACAGGTGACAATGAATCAGAGCAAAAGGCATGAGGAACTGCCTGCAGAGCTCAGAGGCAGGATTATTGCAAGGCACAAATTTGAGGAAAGCTACAATAAAATGTCTGCTGCAGTGAAGGTTCCCAAGAGCACAGTGGCCTCCATAGTTCTCAAATGGAAGAAGTTTGGCACAACCAGGACTCTTCCAAGAGCTGGTCGCCTGGGCAAACTGATCAATTGGGGGAGAACGGCCTTAATAAGAGAAGTGACCAAGAACCCAATGGTCACTCTGACTGAGCTTCAGAGATCCTGTGTGGAGACGGGACAAAGTTCCTGAAGGACAACCATCACTGCAGCCCTCCACCGATCTGGCCTTTATGGCAGAGTCTCTCCTCAGTGCAAAACACATGAAAGCCCACTTGTGGTTTGCAAAAAAGCACCTGAAGGACTCTCAGACTGTGAGGAACAAGATTCTCTGGTCTGATGAAACCAAGATTTAACTGTTTGGCCTCACTTTTAAATGTTATGTCTGGAGGAAATCAGGCACTGCTCATCACCTGCCCAGTATCATCCCAACAGTGAAGCATGGTGGTGGCAGCATCATGCTGTGTAGGTGTTTTTCAGCAGCAGGGACTGGGAGACTGGTCAGGGTTGAAGGAAAGCTGAATGGAGTAAAGTACAGAGATATCCCCAATGAAAACCTGTTCTAGAGCTCAGGGCCTCAGACTGGGCCGATGGTTCACCTTACAACATGACAACAATCCTAATCACACATCCAAGACAACACATGAGTGGCTTAGGGACAACTCTGTGGATGTCCTAGAGTAGCCCAGCCAGAGCCTTGACTTGAAACCTATTGAAAATCTCTGGAGAGACCTGAGAACAGCTGTCCACCAACAGTGCCCATCCAACCTGACTGAGCTTGAGAGGATTTGCAATGGCAGAAAATACCCCAATCCAGGTGTACAAAGCTTGTTGCGTCATACCCAAAAAGATTTGAGGCTGTAATTGCTGCCAAAGGTGCTTCAACAAGTACTGAGTAAAGGGTCTGA